TATGCTAAAGCTATTAGTACACCAATGAAGACAAGTGGAAGCTTGGATAGTGATGCTAGTGGCAATATGGTGGATCAAAAGATGTATCGGTCTATGATTGGAAGCCTACTCTTTGTGACCGCATCAAGGCCGGATGTGATGTTTAGTGTATGCATGTGTGTTAGATTTCAAGCCTCACCAAGAGAAAATCATTTGAAGGCAACAAAGAGAATATTGAGGTACTTGAAGCATACACAAAATGTTGGATTGTGGTATCCCAAAGGAGCAAGATTTGAGTTGATTGGATATTTGAACTCCGATTATGCGGGATTCAAAGTTGAGAGAAAGAGCACATCGGGCACATGTCAACTATTGGGAAGACCACTTGTGTCTTGGTCATCAAAGAAGCAAAATAGTGTAGCACTTTCAACTGCCGAAGCGGAGTACATTTTGGCCGACAGTTGTTGTGCTCAATTACTTTGGATGAAGGCTACTTTGAGTGACTTTGGAATTAAGTTCAAGAAAGTGCCATTGCTTTGTGACAATGAGAGTGCAATCAAGTTAACTAACAATCCAGTTCAACATGCAAGAACTAAGCACATTGATGTCCGCCATCATTTCATAAGAGATCACCAACAAAAAGGGGACATATGCATTGAGAGTGTGGGCACCGAAGATCAACTTGCCGATATCTTCACCAAGCCACTTGATGAGAAGAGGTTTTGCAAGCTAAGGAATGAATTGAATATACTTGACTTCTCCAATATGTGTTGATGCACCCTCCCATTATATGGCATGCCTCTCCTTTGAGCAAAGCAAGGTAAAATTGATTGACATGTCATCCATCCATTGCTAAGGACTTGTTTAGTGCATCTAGTCATTTCTATCATGTCATAGGCTCATTTATGAAAATCAAATGAATTTGATGCTTGTATGGTACCACTATTGTTTGTATGTTTGAAATAATCTAGTGGTAGCATATGACATGTTTGTGGGCTTGTAAACCTAGTGTTTAATCTAAAAAATAAGCTATAAGTGTTTAACTCAACATGGTACAAGATAACCCTTATTTGGAGGTGTGAAGAAGCTTGTCCTTGGATCAAACCGAGTTAAATATCTTTTGCAAGTGATCTAGATTGAACCAAATTGGGGAAATGATCCTCATTTCACATGGTTTTACCCCAACCTATCTATAATTTGAGCTCACCTTCTGTGCTAATTGTTGACAAAGGGGGAGAGAAATCCACAAAGATAGTAAGATAGGAGGAGCAAAAACAAATGAAATGACATTGTAAGGGGATCAATAAAAAATGCACACAAGTAGGGGGAGCAAGCTCATAAACTTGTATGTTGCATTTGAATGTGCATTTCATATATTTGCTTGAATGGCACAAGTTTTAAATTTCAATATCCATGCTTGTGCGGTGTATGCTAGTTATATGCTTGAATGGTGAAATGAAAAACTAGCATGCATAGGCTAAAATAACTAGACTTATGTTCATTTTATGGAAACTAGACCCTTGCTAGTAATGTTGATCTCATGGGGTATTCTAGTCTTTGTGTATGTCTAGTTACTAATGGTGCTAAGGATGGTATATTGGCGCACTTCGATTGGTATCACGCTTCAAAGGTCCATCTCTTATACCTTAGCATTATTTGGTAGAAATTGTCTCCTATATTTCCTATCTAAGCATATGTGCAAGCTACAATCCAAACTCGTAGCACATATGTAGGGGAGCAATTGCTACCAAATGGGATTCATGAAACTTGTCCATATCCTTTTACATATGGTAAATATGCTTGGGCAAGCAACGTGGATTCAATTAAATCTCAATTTATATCTTTGTGTAAGGGTTGTCATCAATTATCAAAAAGGGGGAGATTGAAAGCTCTAGTTTGGTTTTGGTTAATTGATGAAAGCCTAAGTGCTAACCTAGTTTATCAAAGTGATTATGAGATAGGTAGCACTACTCCAAGTAATGAAGCAATGGTGAAGATCATGATGATGGTGAAGGCATGGTGATGATCAAATGCTTGAACTTGGAAAAGAAGAAAGAGAAAAACAAAAGGCTCAAGGCAAAGGTATAAATTGTAGGAGCCATTTTGTTTTAGTGATTGAGACACTTAGTGAGTGTGATCACATTTAGGATCGATAGCCGTACTATTAAGAGAGGGGTGAAACTCGTATCGAAATACGGTTATCAAAGTGCCACTAGATGCTCTAACTCATTGCATATGCATTTAAGATCTAGTGGAGTGCTAACACCCTTGAAAACATTTGTGAAAATATGCTAACACATGTGCACAAGGTGATATACTTGGTGGTTGGCACATTTGAGCAAGGATTAGGAACTTCACCGGTGGAGTGTCCACCCATAGAGTGCGGACAGTCCGATGGTGCCACCAGCGCTCTCTACAGAAAAGACGGAGGTCACTGTAAGTAACCGGATGCTGGTCTCGGTAGGACCAGTGCATCCGGTCAGTGGAAGTGTGAAGATGCTGGTGTCGGTCTTCGACCGGACGCTGGGTCACTTAGTGACCGGACTCTGGGTGAGTCCGGTCGGGCATGACCGGACTCGTCCGATCGTGATTTTTCGCAAATGGAAGCCTACTGGAAACGACCAGATGCTGAGGTCCTGCGTCCGATCACTTCAAAGCAGCACGTCCGGTCACAACTTAAATGTACTAATGACCGTTGAGATTGGGCGATCGGCGTTTGAAGCAGGGGCCACGTGGCACACATCGCGTGACCGGACGCTGGGGTCCAGCGTCCTGTCGATCTGACCGGCGCGTCCGGTCGCCCCGTTTTTCAGTGGACTGAGGAACCAACGGCTCTATTTCGTGGGGGCTTCTATTTAAGCCCCGTGGCAGCCTCAAGCTCACACTCTTGGCCATTTGCATTGACATAGCAACCTTGTGAGCTTAGCCAAAGCCCTCCCACTCATCTCCCTCATTGATCCATCATCATTGTGAGATTGGGAGAGAATCCAAGTGCATTGCTTGAGTGATTGCATCTAGAGGCACTTGGTATTCGTGTTTCGCTGTGGGATTCACTTGTTTCTCTTGGTGGTTGCTGCCACCTAGATGGCTTGAAGCAGCGAGGATCATCGAGCAGAGGTTGGTGATTGTCTCTAGCTCCGATCGTGGTGATTGTGAGGGGTCTTGTGCCTTCCCTGGCGGAGCGCCGAAAGGTAACTCTAGTGGATTGCTCGTGTCATTGAGTTACCTCACTTGTGGGTAGGTTCTTGCGTTGTCCAATTGTGTGGACGAGGTTCGTGCAACACCTATTAGCCACTGAACCACCAAGTGTTGGTCGACACAACGGGGACTAGCGTGCCGGCAAGCACGTGAACCTCGGCAGAAAAATTGGTTGTCTCTTGCCCTTTGGTATTCTCTCGGTGATTGATTCAGTATTCATCTTGTGATTGGTTCATTCATCTACACGGTGGTATAATCACCCTACTCACCTATTTATATTGTTGCAAACTAGTTGTAGTAAACTATTTAGTGTAGCTAGAATTGAGAGCTTGCTTTGTAGCTTAAGTTCATCTAGTGGAGCTCTTTAGTGTAGCAAGTGTGAGAGCTCTTAGTGAGTAGTGACATAGCAAATTGTGTGTTTAGTGATCTTAGCAACTAGAATTGTTGGATAGGTGGCTTGCAACCCTTGTAGAGCTAGAGCAAGTTTGCATTTCGCTATTTGTTATACTAATCAAATTGCTCTAGTTGGTTTGTAAATTTTTTAAATAGGCTATTCACCTCCCCCTCTAGCCATATTAGGACCTTTCAACCGTGCCACTGGTTTTTAAACGTAAGGAGGGGTCAGGCGAAGAGAATGTCTAAACGAGTAGACACTCTCAGCAGCCCCCGAGTGATGTCCGCGCCCCTGCCGTTGATGGGGTCGGAGGCTCGGTAGTGAAATTGATACGTAAAGTAAGTAAATAAGGGTGCTTATCTTTCGGCGGCCGTTTGGTTCCTCAACCCCATCGCTCAGCGTTGTCTGGGCCGTCCGATCGACTCAGGAGGCTCGTTGGTCTCCCCTTGATGGAGGTTCCATCGTTGGGCCCTTCTAGGTCCTCACTACAAGAAATTTGATATTTTATGACAAAAGTCTTCATGACGAGGCATAATATTGTCATATATCATATCATTATATGACGACAAAATTAGTGGCGTCATAATTTCAGAAGCCCTAGAATTATTTATGATGACTCTCTCAAATGTGTCACATAAATGTGCCAAGCATCGTCACAAAATGTCGACCGCCAGTAGCCAATCGTCGGTTATGCTTTTATGACGACATGAATTGGTTTTTGTTGACCCTATTTTTGCATCACTATTTATTTAATCTAACGTGACGCTACACAACGTCATTATTTAGCGTTGGTGTTTAAAAAAATAAAAAATCATCAATATACGCCCAACAGAAGGAGATGGACTGGGAGACGATTTCGAATCGTTCCCCAAAATCCCCCACTCCCACACGGCGGCGGGCGGCGTCTTGGTTGCGCGGAGCGGCGGTGGAGCGTGGTTTGTCCGGGCAAGCGGAGCAGCGGCGGAGCGTGGTTCGGGGCTGCCGGCGGCTAGTGGGCGATGTAGCGCGGCGTGCTTGGCGGCGGAGCTTGGCAGGTGGCCTGGTGGCGCGCGGCTGGCGGCGGATCTCGGCGGGAGGCTAGTGCTGGCGTTGTTCGGTTGGGGCACCAGCTTGCTGGTGGAGCGGAGCATGGTTTGGGCAGCGTAGCAGAGTCTGGTTGGGCGGCGGAGCACGCGCGGCGAGCTGGCAGGTTGAGTGGCACACTACGGCGGGTGGAGCTCGTTGGGCAGGGTTATCTCGGTGGGCGGGCTGAGCACGGCGTGCGGGCGGGCGGAGCTTTGGAGGGGATTTGGTTGGGCTATGCTCGGTGGTCGGCGGCGGACGTCTTGGCGGTGGCTGGTCCCCATCGCGCTAGGTGGCTGTGCCCCTCCCTTTCCCCCACTCGATCTATTGCCTTTGATTGTTGCTCACCTTCCCTCTTTCAGTTCTCATGTCGCAGGCATCATCCTCAGCCGCTCTGACTCGACGGTCAAGTGCAGCTAGGTTTGGCCGGCAACCAAAAGCCCTTGCTATTGCTGCTGCAGTGCCAACGCCCACTGCTATCGATGTGCGGGCGCCCCTTGACGATGTGACTGGGTTGCCATTGATCATGTGCCCTGATTGCAAGGATGTGAGGTTGTTTGCTGCTACTACCATGAAGTCTCAGTATAACGTTGGAAGGAGGTTTTTCAAGTGCCCCCAGAAGAACTATAGCAATGTCAGTGCCGTGGTTCTATTTCTCAAATTTCAGTCTTGTTTGAATTCATTTCCCTGAGAATGATATTGTTAGCTATTAGCATTCAGTGCGCGCACTATTGGTGTTAAAATGCATGTGTTTGTCATTTGGATGCAGGGGACATGTTCTAGGTATTGGTTCGAGGAAGAATATGTGGTGTACCTTGAAGATCATGGTTATCTACTTCCACCTTCCTCAACCATTGCAGCAGCTTCGACCAATGAAGTTCCTGAGCTGGTGGGAAAAATTGATAGCTTGGAGCAAAATCTGAACGAGGTGAAGGAAATGGTTGGCAAGAACAGGGAAGACATGGGAAGCTGCATTTGTCTTGTGTGTGGATGCTTGAATGTAACAATATTCCTGGTGTTGGCCATCTTGTTGGTTGTAGCTTTAGTGTTGAAGTAGGCAATGCTTTTGGATTTTATGATCAAGTAGGCTGGGACATGTTGTACTGAACCTCTTGTGGTGTATGTTTGTGCATTTGGTATGAAATGTGGGCCTTTGTGCTCTTGGACATCTCTTGTGTAAGCTATGCATTGCTGCTATATGTTGGAAATAAAGATCCCTTTTGCTTATGATGATTTACTGTTGTTGGATGAAATTTAGGCAGCATCTATATATATGACTTGCAGCCTATACATTTTGTGACTAATTCTGTACATTACATGACAGTTCTGGGCATTACTGTTGTTGGATGAAATTTAGATGCAAATGTAGTAGCCTAATTCAAATACAACATAATAAAAAACAAAAAAGTTCATGGTTCACAAATCGCTAAAAAATGCAAAGTTCAGTCATCATCACTGTCTTCTCCTGAAGTATTCCCTCCTTCTGAACTATGGTACTCAAGATAGGTTTCATCTTCATCTTCATTTCCGTCATCTGCTTCATCACCTTGAGCTATATGTGGCTGTCGCCAGATGGTCTCCACAAGGTCTCTACTTATAGGGCTGCCTGGTTCATTCTCCATGTGCAAAAAATCCAAATCAGGATGAATGTCTCCCACTGCACCTTCTCTCGATGAAATGTGCTCCTCTTGGTATGCCTCCAGACATCTAATTTGTTGCTGTTCTTGAATTGCTTGGTTTGTGTCAGACTCTTCGACATCAAATATATGTCGGTGGCCAAATTCTTGTAGCACTCACCAACTTGGACCTAACTTTGTATCTTCCAAGAGAAATGCTTGTGAAGCATCTATGGCTATAATGAAAGGATCATCCTTATACCATCGGCCTTGGATGTTTATGCTCTTGAAGTAACCATCATCTTTCATCTGGTATGTCCTTCCCTCTAGATTGTACCACTCACACCGTAATAAGACAACAATTCTTTGGCCTTTGCTGTTCTTATTGTAACTCAACTCAATAATGTCTTTGATTGTCCCATAGAAGTCAATTGTGTCATCACCGTGAGTACCTGCACTTTTGATGGTGGAGTTTTGTGTCTTCCTATGTTCATCATGAGCCAAAGTGTGGTACCGTACCCCATTGATTATACAGGATGTGTAAGAACGCACTCGCAGGAGCATGGATTCCCATCACAGTGCACACATGCGAAGTAACCCCTAGTGGTTCTGCCTGACATGGTGCCTAATGCAGGGTAGTCATGGATTCCCCACAGAATCACTACACACAGGTTGAAGTCTTTGCCTTGAACTGCATCATAAGTTTTCACACCCTTCCAAAGCTCTATCATGTCTGCTATCAAAGGCTGCATGAACACATGGAAATCTTTGCCTGATGATTTTTTTCCTAGAATTAGTAAAGCAAGCATATAATTGGATTGGTCCATACACATCCATGGTGGAAAATTGTATGGTACCACTATCACTGGTCATATGCTATATGAATTGCTCATCTGACCAAATGGGTTAAATCCATCAGTAGCAATGGCTAACCTCAGACTACGGGGATCATCTGCAAAAGACTTGAAAGTGTCATCAAAATCTTTCCAAGCTTCCCCGTCAGCAGGATGTCTCATTTCATTCTCAACTGGTACCCTCTTTTCCTTGTGCCATCTTGCATACTGTGCTCGCTGCTTTGACATGAAAAGCCTTTGAAGGCGAGGAATTATTGGAAAGTAACGGAGGACCTTGTGAGCAACTTTCTTTCTGCCCTCCTTGTTCACTTTCCATCTTGTGAATCCACAAACTGGGCAATGATCATCAGCTTCATGGTCCTTCCAAAATAAGGCACAATCAAACTTGCACACATCAATAGAAACATAACCAAAACCAAGCTTCCGAAGCAAAGCTTTCATTTCTTTATAGGACTTAGGAAGTCCGGGCACATTCTTCAAAGATGAAGAAAGCAACTCAAGCATAGCATCGAACCTAGATGTTGTTATCCGATTGTACACTTTGATATGCAGTAGTTTAATAATAAAAGATAGCCTAGACTCCTCGGTGCAACCTGGATAAAGTTCACGCTTTGCCTCTTCCATAATTTCTTTATATAAGTTACCACCGAAGCCATGGCTTGCTGCGTCGCGCAAATCTTGAATCAACCCCTGAACTCCCCTTGCACCGTCATCTAAGACATCTTCAGCTTGTCCTTCCTCATCAAGTGGTGCCTGGTATTTCCATCCCATGACATATCTTCTAGAACAACAACAAGTTCTCCATCTTCATCTTGTCCAACATCAGTTTCTTCCTCTCCATGGTAAACCCACCTAGTATAGCACCTAGACATACCATTGAGTTCGATATCCTCGTGTACATCATCTAGGCTTTTGTCTATGTGGTTCAGGCATTTTTGGCATGGGCACTTGATCTTCTCATCTGCACTAAATCTAGCTCTGACATGTTCCATGAATTGCTGAACACCACACAAAAATGCTGGTGAAAATGGTTCACTGTTATAAATCCAACTTCTGTCCATCTCGACCTAGATAAATAAAAGACAGTAATTAGCATTGTTTATTTTCATGACCAAGATAACATAAAATGGTTCGCTGTTTTCTTCAAGGCAATACACAATATTTCATTTGAACACTGGTTCTTCCTATGAGATGAAGTATCAAGAAAAGGTTAGTTCAGCCTTGTTTTTTCAGATCGGTAGTAGCTCACCTTGTGGGGGTGGTTGTCGTGGCTGCAGGTGGACGGTGAGGGAGCAGATTGGGCCGGTCAAGCTCCACCATGGCTTGGACGGCCAGGCTACACCACAGTGCCTGCAGGTCCTCGTCGCCGTTGAAGTCGGGGGAGGTGAGGGTCGGTGCGGCTGGAGGAGAGGGCCTGCAGCTGCTCGTTGCCGGCGGCCCTGCCGGTGCTCATCGCCGTTGAGGTGGGGGGAGGTGAGGTGAGGGGCACGGCTGGAGGGGAGGGCCTGAAGCTGCAGTGCTAGTCGTCGACGGGCCTGCAGGTGCTCGTCGCCGGCGGGCCTGCAAGTCCTCGTCGCTGGCGAGGCTGCAGGTCGGGGCGGCGGGGAGAGGCTGCAGGCCAGAGACAGTGGCCGAGCGGGCCACTGAGCAGGTTAGCTGGTCCGAGCGCCAGGGAGCAAGTGTACATACCCCTTCTTTATATGACATGTGGGCCCGGTGTTTCAATGACATGTGGGCCATAAGATGTTCATTAGCATTTCTTGCTCCCTGTGAATTGTTGATGAATTTGTCTTTTTAATCCATGGCAAAATCTTATAACAAGTCTTTCTCCTACATGCAATCTCCAAATCTATTTTTTTCTCCTAAAAATTTCTAAAATCATGATCTATCAATGTGTTGTGATGATTTATACCATATAGTCAGGTATCATGTTTTGAACAGTTCAAAAGTATAATTTATAAAAATATACAATTTGAATCCAAAATTTGAAACTCAAAATGACTTCAGCTATAAAATTCATGAATAAGAAAGTTGTTCAACTCATGAAGACCAACAAGAGTTAGCTTGGCCATTTTCCCATTTGACAAAGTGGTAAAAAAGTAGTTCACAAATTTTACATTCACTCTTATAGTTTCATGAACATTGAGTGAGATATATGATTTCTGTGAACAAAGTTATTCTCACTTCCTCGGATGAACAAACTCCCAAAACAAGAAGTGTACATCTTCATGAGATGTGCAATCTTTGTGTTCATCACTTTTAAATCTAAAATTATTTAGTACCCCTAATTTTAGTTCCAAGCTTAAATTTTTTGAAATTCAAATTTGAAACTATCAAAAAGTGTCAAATGAAAAAAATACCCAAAACCAACATTGTAGATTTCGACGAGTTGTACAATTTTGTTTCAGACATTATTTCCATTTTCTATCGTTTAATACCCCAAACATTCATTTCAAATCCTAATAACAATAAAAGGGTCACTGACTAGTGGACCCTCTGCACCAGTAAAAAAATTCGGCCAGCCCAGGTCCGGCCGCCGACAAATCGGCCCCAGTCGTCAGGCCAAAATTTTCGCTGCCGCCGGACGCTCTCTCCCGCGCTCTCCCGCTCGCCGACATATGGGGCCCACCCCGCTTCCCGCTCAAGCCACCCAAGCCCCAGCGCCTTATCCTCTTGCCCGGTTAGACTTAGGGGAAAAATCCCCAATCTCGTGCGCTCGACTCCACCGCCCACCGCCGCCACCACCCCTCGCCGCCGCACCGACCACCGCCAAAACGCCCGCCTCCACCGCGTGTACTCCACGTAGACCATGGCGCCGCGTCCTCCCTAACCCTAGCGCCGCCGCCTCCACTGCCATCTAACCCTCACGCCGTCTCCTCCCTAACCCTAGCGCCGCCTCCTCCCTAACACTAGCGTCACCGAGCATGGCCATTTTGTCCTCCCTCCCCGCAACATAGCGGCGCCAAGCGCCGACGACGTGCAACCCAACGCCGGAGGCCAGAGCAGTAGATCACGCCGCCGGCATCCACGGATCGACCCCGAGCCACGGATCCACCACCTAGCCGGCATCCCAGACTCCGTCACCTCTGCCTCGACGTAAGCCGGATCCACCACCAAGCCGGAACTTGCACAAAGTCATATGCTGGCTATGCTTAATAGATGTTGGACCATGGATAGATTTTCAAGCATGGCTGTAGTTGGGCATGGGATGTTTTCTCCAGAACATGTTGCTGCATGACCAATCTGATCTATCTATAGTGCTTGTTATTCTTGATTTTGTGCCTTCAAAACTACAGAAAGAGAACTGGCTAGCTGACATAACTAGGGAAACTGAGTAGCTTTTGTAGGCTTTTGAGTAATGATTTGTTATGCAATATGGATTTGTTATTTTGCCTTCTTTCTACCATTTATTGTTATTTTGCCTTCTGTCTACCATTTTCTAAAATCATTCTGATCTGTGAGTATTTCTTTTCAACTCCTCTACAGAAACTGTTTCCAGTTTTTGTTCTTTCTGCAATTGCTCGTACTAAGTAATACAACAAATGACGAAAAGCAAGTACGAGCAGCAGAGGGATGAGAATGTATAG